AGAGAGAGAGAGAGAGAGAGAGAGAGAGAGAGAGAAAGAAAGAAAGAAAGAGAAAGAAAGAAAGAGATTGTAACCCTAGGTAGCCCACAGACACAAGAAATCCTAGAGACAGAGCAGAGGCAGGACAGAGCCTGGGCCTATGTTCCGACAGCTGCTCTGAGAACCTGGAACCCCGAGCAGACAGACTGGGTTTGGAGGTTTGGAGTGGGGAGCAGAATTGTTGGGTATTGGCCCCTATTCCACCCCAAACTGAGATCTCCAAGAAGCATTTACTAAGTGTCCTTTCCAGGTTGTTTTGTTTTGAAGGGATCTTCATAAAAAATCAAGTTAGGACCTACAATAAGGGCTGTGGCCAGCAGAGGCCAGTCCCTGGAGCAGGCCATCACGTTTGGTAAAGGAGCGGGCAGTGACGCCGAGGAGTGTGTTCTCTGGGATGGACTGCCACAGTGGCTGCCACATGGGCTCACGCATAACAAGTGGGGTTCGTCCTGTTGTGCACAGGGTCTCCGCGAGTCGGAACCCCTGGAGCCCCAACCTCCAGGGCTGTTGCTCTGGTGGCACCAAGGTCAAGTGCTCTCGTGCCAACCAGAATGTTTGTGGCTCCAGTCCCCCAGCCACTCCCTGGAAGAAAGAGATGACGTCCTTTTCTAAAGCTCCCTAAAGGCCCATGTATTGACTTGCTTCTCACTCAGTGGCCTGCTAGGATAGCGTAGCACAACTCCCTCCAGTTTCCAGGCTGTAAAATTTGAGGGAAGCAGACTGCCTCCTCTTTCTCTCTGGGGCTCTCGCCACCGGCCTTACTGTTAGCAGCCCCGCCCTGGGCACGTCCCAGGCGCCTTGAAGCAGAGATGGGCCTGGGTGGGGAGCCACCACATACGACTGCTGTGGCCTTGAGGAAATCGCCGAACTTCTCTGGGCCCCAAGGTGTTCTCACCTGTACACAGGAGGGGTAATAGCGTGTACCTCAGAGGGTTCTTGTAAGGGCTCAAGAGTGCAGATAAAAAGTGCCGGGTACTTCCCAAAGACAGGCTCGTTCCCTCCTTCCCACTCTTCTCGCCTAGAACAGGACGAGACCTTCGTTTTGAAGCATCGCTTGTAAGCTCCGTGTTCCAGGTTGGCCTTCCTGTTTCATGGGCTGCCCTCGCAGGGCCTGGGACAAGGCCTTCCTTTCCCAACTGTAAAGGGACCAAAGTTGCTCCCCAGGTGAAGGGCAGCTTGCAGTGTCCACTGTGCTTGTCTGTCCCTGAAAAGAAGACAGACTGTAGTGTGGGAACAGGAAGAGCAGGCGTAAGAAGGGCTGCCCTGCTGTGCCCCCACGCCCCCCAACAGCAACACTGGTTTCGTAGCTGCCAGACCCAGCAGGCACGAGGGTGGTATACACGGAGCAGGACAGGGCCTCCTCTGCCCCTTCCCTGGCCCTGCCTCTCGGCCTCTGTGTGCTTTATGGAGCTCACGGGCAGCAACTGGGGGATGTCCAGGCCCGACCACCCTCGGGGGCAAATCAAGCCTCGGCGTTGCAGTGGGTGCTCTCCAAGCTCTTCCCAGGGTGCCCTCCCCCTGCCATTCTCGTGTCTCCTTGTGGAACCTCCTGGTTCCCACTTTACCTGAGCCCTGTACGTCCAGAACAGCCCAGATCTCGCCGTTAGCCTTGGGGGACAGGCGTTGCGTGCTCTCTGACTCAGCTCAGAGGCACCATGGCGGAGGGCAGGAGCCGGCTCTGGGCCCCATGGTCACAAAGGCTTAACTAAATATCTATCTATATATTTATTAGGCAGCAAGAACTCAAGCGAGAAAAGATAGAGTTCTCTGCCTAGAGAAAAGACTAAACTCTAGCTTTCATTTTAGAGTATTTTGCATCTTTCTTTCTTAAAAAAAAAAAAAAAACGAAAAGAAAGTTTTATAGCTTCGAGTTTGCCAGGTGACTTTGAAAGCCATGTGCACAAATCAGATCTTTTTGGTCTGTGTTCTGATCTCTCAAAACTGTGGGAGCAGGGAAATGTATATTCTTGGTGGACAGGGAGGACATTTTGGATAGAAGTCACTTATTTCAACAAATATTTATTTTAAATGTATCTTTTTTTAATAAAGCAACTGGCCAAGTCTCTGATTCTCATTCACATTGAAACTGTGGCTCTCTGGACATACTCACACTGAGGGTTGAGGCAGCTGTCCAGATAACTCAGGCCAAACTCCTGCTACTGAAGAAAAACAATTCAGGGTTGTTTTTAAACTGAATTTTTCCAGTGGTTTTAATTTTTTCCCTCCTCCTGCTTCCTAAATTCTTTAAATCTACAGTTTTCCAGTTCCACTTGCTTTTGTTGATCCAGGATGAGTCTGTTGAAGAAAGATGGCAATAGAGAAAAATGTTATTTGGAATCCTTGCAGGTTTCATGGTTGTAACTAAGGACAATCGTTTTCATTAGCCAGCCTCTGGAGACCCTTATAAAATCTCAGTGTTATCAAGGAAGCTGTCTGTCATCGGGCTTTTTGCAAGTTTCCTTGCTCCCCGCCGTATTGTCTTATGATTCCTGCTGACTCCTGGCTGCCTTGGGGTGACTCAAACCGTTTGTCTGGTCTTTCCTTCCTGCCTTTGTGCAGAAAGATGGCTCAGCTGTCCAGGCAACTGACTGTGTTCTTGAAACGGCCCTGTTTTTCAGATGCCGAACTCTCTCAGGTTCGCCCAGACCAAAGAACTTTAAGAAGATTCATTTTATCAAGAACATGCGGCAACACGATACCAGGAATGGCAGGTACTACACAAACAGCCGGGGCCCTGCCAGGTTTCCTGCTGGGGGAGCATGTGGGCTTGGGCGGGGAGGGGAGAGAGGTGGGGGGGAAAGGGGTGGTGGCGGGTCTGGAGGCCAGGGCCAGGAGGTGGGTGCGGTTTTACTTGCCACGTCTCAGCAACGCTCCACCCCGCACTTTGCCATGTCATCATTGACTGTCGTTGTTGTTGTGGATGATATGCACAGCAACACACGTCCACAGACCCAACAACCCTCCATGCTTAATTCAGGGACACGGATGCCCGTCTGCGAGCTGTGCAGTCATGCACGCCCCTCGTTGTCAGGACAGCCCTTCACCCTGAACAGAAATGCGCTGCCTCCTAAGCTTCCTGTTTCAACCCACATTACAAAAGACAGCTCTGTTATTTTATTTTGATTAACACAGGATTTCCCCAAATAGTGAGAATATGGAGTCCTTTTCTGTTTCCCCCTCCAAAGAAGGCTTATTAACATCCTACCTAAAATACGTACTAGACTTTCTGTTGCTGTTCTTTTAGACTCCAGGGCAGGCCAGGCCTCCATTGGTAGGTGCTGTGGAATCACTTTCCCCCACAGAGTGGAGCTGCCCCTGTGCACAGGAGCTCCTGCAGCCCCCCCCCGCACACACACACCTCCTCAGAACCATCGAGAGGAGTCTGTAGAAAGCGGTGCTTTCTGATGGCCACTCAGGGCTTGGTGAGGCTTTTCAGCCCACCACCTGCTGAATTTTCCACAGTCCTCAAATATCTTCTCATAGGAAACGTTGCCCAGGAACACAGGATTTCGTGTTTTGTTTGTTCTCTTCCACTCGATGGGTGGTGGTTAATTTTTTCCGCCTGGGCCATGGGAAGCGCTTAGCCACGCTGGTGGCGGGTGGTTTAAACACTTGGCTGCTAGTTGGACAGGGGCGGTTCAAGTCCACCAGCGCTCTGCGGGAGAGAAGTGACCGTGTCTGCTTCTGGAGGGTTTGCAGCCTTGGAAGCGGTGGGCTAGTCTTCTGCCCGGGAGGGTTGGTGTGACGCAGCATCAGCTCAACAACAAGGAGTCGGTTGGGTCGGATTCTGCAGGAATAAATCATTACTCCACCAGGCCTGCGGGTGGACCTGGTTTGGTGCTGCCTTTGCAGACTCCGGGGTGTTAGAATCACAGCTTTGCCACCGCAGTCTTCCTCTCCACCGATTCTACTCCTGGGCCTTCAGACACTAGGCCCACATGCTTCTCCCGCACTTTAGTTGCTCTTGGAGAAGGCTATTAAATGAACGTACGATGGTGGAGATTTACATCGCAGTTACAGTAACTTGCTTGACAACAGAGAGATCAGAACCATCGCTGCCCACACTGTTAGTATGACTGGCAGAGTCCCCTCATCTCCACAGGGCGGCAAGGGGTACAAAACCCCAGACACTCTGGGTTCCCGCCACACTCCCAAACTCCGCAGCTCTATAAGCCGCCCCAGACAGCCCTCTGCACTCACCTGTGATCCGGGTTGTGGTTTCACGTGAGCCAATGAGTCAGATACTGCCGTAGAGTAGAGGGCTACCACAAAGGCTACTTTGTTTGATCTCCTGATGGAGAGAGAAGGCCCTCTAATCCCTGTAAAAGGGAAACGGTCAGTCCGTCTTTGAGTTAGACTCACGGAATGATTGGGACCACTGTGAACTGCAGTTTGATGGCACAGAGCACCTCTCCCGCCTGGGCCACATGGACAGTTCCAGTCTTTAAAAGCGGGGTTTCTGGAAGTCCGTCCTATTTTTTAAAAACAGGCCAGGGATTTGATCTTATGTCTGTTGCTGTGGTCCCTGGTTAGCAATGTGGAAACAGTCTTCGGTTATTCCTCATGCAACAGCTCATATGTTAAATGCAGCACATACAGTTGACTTACATAGCTTTGATCTGCTAAATAGAATGTCCAGAATCCCCCTCTTAATGCCTTTGCCCTCACTGTCTGTCTCTGAGGATGATCATGCCTTATTTGATTACCCACACCTATTTTCATTTCTTCTGTGGCTCCTATTAAAGTCGGCCTCCCACACGATATTTTTAGTGTAATTATGCCTGATTTATTTACATCTATGTTCTGTGTGTAAACTCTCTGTCAAACAGACATAGAAAAGCCTTTAATTCCTAAATAAGATCAATGACAGAGCCAAAGAAGGGACCCAATTGCTGCTGCCACCTCTCCCCTCCAGGTGCGCTCTGGGACAGAAAGGCAGACTACTCCTGGGCACGGCTGGCTGGTGAGAGGGTTAGTCCGAGGCTTTGGATGAGTGGGATTTTCCAGGGACCTGCAGAGTCTATGCCCAGGCACGCCCTGACCCGGGAGCTACAGAACCAGCCAGGGCAGCATGCAGTCGCTTGCCTCTTTGCTGGAGGGGTTTCTCAGAGAGAACCAAGATGGACGGCTAGTTTAGTAGAAGATCTGAAGGATGGGATTTGGAGCAGGAAAGAGGTCTAGGAACTGCAGGCACCGAGAAGGTGGCCGGTTATGCTGCCCCTGCTGAAAGCCGGCTTTGCTGTGGAAGAAGGAGACCGGCCTGGAGGTGCTACCCTGCCGCGCCCTGGTCTATTGGCCAGGCTGGACTCTTCTCCGGCAGATGAAAGAAACCAGAGAAAGTCAGAAAGAAAGATGGCTGTTTCTGAGGTGACAGATGGAAACCGTGGTCGAGAGCCTGGTGAAGGGGAGGCTGTATCCCAGACTGTGGAGAGAGGAAAGGAGAATTGCCCCCACGGCTCAGCGCGGGGCTGCGGGCATGCAGGCATGCGTTCTCCCGTTGAAGGATGGCTCAGGATGTTTGCATGAGTCATCCGCCCAAGGACGGACGGTGTGATGCCCAGGGGCCTCGGGATCCTGCCTCAGGTGCACTGACCTGCCTGTGTCGCACCCACACGAGAGGAAGGAAGGCCTGCAGTGAGGAATCCAGCCTCTCGGCTCGGGGACCTCCCCACACAGGAGAGTGGTTTACGGGAAAGTCTGCGGCCTCATGGGAGACTTCGGCCTTCTGGGATGAAAGTGGAATGGCCTGTCTAGGTGGTGGTCTGCCCTTTCTTGTCCCCAGAGAAGAGACTGAAATGGAGCCGTGAAAATGAGTGTGTGCCCTTCCCCAGCCCCCAGCCCCCACCTCCCAGACACACACACACACACACACACACACACACACACACACACACACACCTACACCTACACCCTCCCAGGCAGTGCCAGATCCCGAGACCCCTTGTAGTGGTCCCTGGATGTTCTCCCCTGTGCTCCAAGGCTCTGCGTCGAGACTCCCCGCTCAGTAGCCCCTGACTGAGTGGTGGATAAAGGCTCCTGCAGTGAGGAGCACTCTGGCTCCCAGTCTCAGCAGGGACGAGGGTGTCCTTCCGAGAACAGATGGGGACCAGCCATCGTGAGAACACAGGTTTGAAGCACAATTTTAAAATGTTGTTGTTAGGGGCTGTGGAGTCTGTGCTGACTGACCGTGACCCTGCGTACAACGCAACACTGCCCGGTCCCTGACCTCCTCACACCAGTGCTGTGCCCGAGCAGCTTGTCGAAGCCCCTGTGTCAGTGCATGCTCTGTGGGCATGGTCATGGGTATCCCTGAGCCAATTCCAACCCGTAGTGGCCCCGTGTGACAGAGAAGAACTGCCTGGTGGGGGGAGGGGGGGCTTCTGGGCTGTAACCTTCTGGGGACGAAATCTGCAGGTCTCTCTCCCTCGGAGCTACAGGGTAGGTTTGACCCACCAACCCTTCCACTAGCAGCCAATCACTTTACCTTTGCAACACCAATGTTTCTCCACACACGTGACACAATTTCTATCTCAGATGTAACAAGTGCAAAAGTAAAAAGAAGAAGAAAAGAGACATCTAGAAATCAGTAGCTGAGAGACAAGTATAAAGAATGCCGAGGGAGGCTGCCCTGCAGCATGCACTGAGGAGTGTTCAACTGAAGAGAAAAGCCAGCAATCGACGACCGACCGCGAGGGCGTTTGAAACTCCACTGGGAAGAGGAGAGGACAGCACATCAGCAGCAGATGTCCCCTGTGGCTCGCTGGCCTTTAGCTGCATCCGCACCTGTCACTGGGGGTGGGGTGGAGTATAGTATCATCGCTAGAAGCAAGAAACCGAATCTCTGCTGAGTCAGGAGATATTTGTTGACTAAATGAACGGAGAGACCATTTGAAAGACTTCCCCGCTGCGGGACTGGAGTCCAGGGAATGGAATTGCAAACGCTCTGGAAAGTGCCCTGGCCAAAGGCCCGGAGACAAAAGGGATAAAGAAACTGGGAGGATCCAAAATGTAACCCCCCCTTCTAATTCACAATCCCTTTTTAAAAAGTTGAGTGATCATAGGTACTGAGGGGAGAAGGGCACGGAGAAGTATTGCTTTAGGGGAGCTGAGCTCCTGTCTGGGGCAGTGAGAAGCATTAGGAAGTCGGGGGGCGGGAGATAGTTGCGCAACCCGGAGAACGGAATGTCACTAAATTGCTAAGTTTCGTTAAATGGCAAACGTTGGTCGCATATCTGTTGCCGGAAGAGAAAACCAGCGGGGAACTGCAGACATACTCCATCTAATGGCTGGCAAGTGTGCCTTCCGGAAGGAGGCCGGGTGGCGGCAGAGGGTAAGTTGTTCTGCCCATCATGCCCCTAGCAAGCCCGGAGGTGATTTCGCTGGCAGGATTCGGGGATAGGTGGTGAAGCAGATGGTTTGGGAGCTTTCGGGAAAGAGTGTGGCAGTTGCGGGCAGTCAGCGTGCGTTCCTGTAGAAATAAAAGCCGTGTTAAATGGACTTCGCTTCCTTATTGAGGGAATAACCAGATCAGCAAAGTCATGGGATGCCGTAGACACCGTCCTTCTTGATTTCAGCAGGACAGAGCCTGTGGCTCGTTACAGCAAGCCCCCTGGACAGCATGGGGGGAAGCGGGCTTGGTGATGGGGAAGCTGGGGAGACTCCAGTGGCCAACTGACCCTGAGAGCTGACCATCACGAGCCTGAGGGGGCGA